TGTATGTATATTACTCACTATGGTTTTGAGATTCAACTATTTGGACTCACCTAGCTTACACATGGCTTCACTTGGCCTTTGTCTTCTTATTAATAATAAAATACAGAGTAGTATTGATTTTGGGGCAGTGATATTCAAGTGGAATGTGTGTTTTTTTTAAGGAAAAAGGAGAATGAAGAAGGGAGTCCATCCTCAGATGCAATGGATATCGTACGTGACACAGAGTGGGAGATTGATGCCAGTGATGATGACCAAGATACACCAAGTGGGAAAGGTCTATCACTTCAGAGCCAGGCGCCAAATGGCTGAGAGCATTGGCCAAATTGCCAAGTTCAAGCGCCGTTACCAGAAGAAGGAAGAGGAGGCAGCCGACCAAGAGAAATGATGAGCGGTTTGTTTTATTGGAGTTTCTTTTCTATATATATAACCATAATATGCTACATTCATCTTTCCATGCTCCGATCAAAGATTTTGGGGTCTTGTTTTTCAATAAATTTTCCGAACTGATTGTCTTATGTTTGGTTAGGGTTGTCATTTGGCTTTTTATTAAGGGGCTGTTTGTTTCAGCCTCTTAATGGTTCAGATGCCTGAATGATTCAGCACTTAATGGTTCAGACTGTTTGTTTCAGCCTCTTAATGGTTCAGATGTCTGAATGGTTAAGAGATTTGCCTCTGAATGGTTAAGTATTATACAGAGTCTGAATGGTTAAGAGCTCTTATCTGAATTGATCAGACATTTGTCTCTGAATAGTTAAGCAATATACTAGCTCTTAATGGTTCAGACCTCTTACTGGTTCACCATTTAATGGTTCAGACCTCTTACTGGTTTAGCACTTATCTATTCAGAAGTTGCCAAACAGCCCCTAAGTCTTTTTTTATGAGCTTAGAGAATGGAGATGGTCTTCTCAAAACTAATTTCGATTCTTCAATGTAAATTTTCAAAATAACTTTTATCAAATATTGGTTTTGATTAAAGGTTGTTGACAAAACCTAAGGATGATCAAACTTAAAACGACCCACTAAAAATGGGTCAAATTTGAGAAAATTGACTTGACTTTTTCAAAATCATGTACTTTAATACTTTGTATGAAATATAATTTAATAAAATACTTTGTAGTACTCTAGCACTCCTTTCGTCCCAATTTATAATGCTTATTTTGGATCATATTTAAGGAAGGAAAAAATTAAAGTTGACTTTCTAAAATTGCCCATCACTTTTATTTTTTAAGCTGGGTAGGAGTAAGAAAGGGTGGGTAGGAGTAATTACATGGGAGAATATTTTGGGAAGTCTACATAAATAATAATACAAAATAAGAAAACATGCATATCATTTTCGGACGGACGAACAAGGAAAATAGAAATTATAATTTGGGATAGAGGGAGTAATACTTTTTTTTTGTTTCATCAAAAAAAAAATACTTTTTTGTAATTACCCCTTTGTAGGGTTGAAAGTTTTATTTTGGTCTTTTTGAAAAAGCATATAATTTGGGCACGTTTTCATTAACTTAGATTGGGTTCTTTTCAACTTAATAGTACAAGTACAATAGCTGGTACATTGCTCTTGGTACAAAAGGCGATGCACAGAGCATATGCCAATAGAGAAGGAAAATGCTAAAGAGGCACCACGTGTGCCTCCAAGCATGCCACCAAATTTATTTAATTTTTAATTTTTTTTCTTTCAATTTTCCTATTTTGGGTGACTTTTCGTCTCCCGCTCCCAAAATTCCCAAATCTCTCTTCTCCGGCTTCAACCTCCACAACCTCATCGTCATTCTTCTCTGTTCTTCTTCTCTGGCATCTACGACGAATCCACAACCTGTCCTGGAGCATAATCACAAACGTCAAATTCAGCTAAAGCTCCTACTCCTGGAGGCAATTGATTCCGCATCCAGTGTTGTCGGACCATCTGCAAAGTAAGAATACTTTTCTTAATTATTTTCATTAGATTTATTACATGTGCTATTTGGGGAAAGAGATGAATGTTTTTTTTGAGCAGTGAAACCCTAGGATTACACATTGAGGGAACGGGTGGAAACCTGGGTGCAAAAGATGAAATTCAGTGAGTTGTAGACTTATTTACAAGTAGAAGAAAGAGAAAATATGAAGGAAGTAATTGATTGTTAAAAAATTAATAACATAAAGTCATAAACTAGTTAATAAGAAGAAAATGTCCTTAATAAGCCTTAAAGAGAGCATTACGGGTCTGGTTATAAATTAAACATTAAAAGATTAATAACAAAGTCATATACAAAAGTATGAAAGAATCACTTCTTTTTATAATGTCAACATTAAATAAAACGATTAATACAAATTCAGGATAAAGAACATTTGAGAACAAAATTATGCAAAGAGGAAGAAGAATACAGTAACTAATCAGCAACTGGAATTCCCAATCATGTCGATGTCAAAGTGTTAATGAATCACCCAATTTTTTTAGATATTTATGAAAGTCCTAGACCCTGGTATTACAAAGTAAAGTGGATGTAAATCTCTATTAATGGAAAAAGAATATATAGCAGCTACCTTGATCTCCTTAATATACACCCAAGTGCAAGGCTTCATGACTGGTCATGGATAGAATTTAGAGGCTGCAAATGTTAAAAGATCTCTGAAGCTGCATAAAAGAGACGGCAGTGCAGGGAGAATTGTAAGGTTGAAGATCTCTGGATCTACATAAAAATGTTAAAAGTTAAATGTTAAACTGCAAAAAATGTTAAATTTTTACAGGCTGCATAAAAGATCTCTGAAACTTCTCACCAGTTAATATGATGGAGAAGTAGTTCCAACTGTTAATATTGATATAAAAGCCATTCAAATATAAAAGAGGTTTTATTTTGAATGATATAGATGATTAACTTCTAATATTTGAACTTCATATAAGATTATTGTCTGTGAAATAGGTTTGCTTGTTATTTTTGCTTACTTTGTGAATTGTATGGAATAGATGGTTAAGTTCTGTTATTTGAACTTCATATAACATTATTGTCTATGAAAGAGGTTTGCTTGTTTTTTGCTTGCTTTCTGTGAGTTGTATGTCGTAGACGATTAACCTCTGTTTATTGAACTTCATATATGATTATTGTCTGTGTAGATATTTTAACTTGTGTTAATTGAACTTCATTTCACACGATGTCTTTGTGAACTTCATTTCAGACGATGAATTCTGGATCCTCTGGAATGGTAAAATTATGCTAAAAATAAGGATATGTTCAAAAGTGTGTGGGTGCAAACACTTTGGAGAAGGAATGGGAAACAATTGTTGTCAATGGTATTCCGCAATAGGACTCTAGGTTTGTTCGCCATTACTTCGTTATGGTTCTCCCATGGTGGTGAAAATCATACCCCCCTACTTATTTTAATATTATTTTCCCATGCAGGTATGGCAATTGTGGAGTGATGGTGCTAGCATTTCTAGAGTCTTTGTTGGTTGGCTTACCATTAAGCCCGGACTGCAGTTCTGAACACATGGCTGATTTCTGATATCAATTTGCAGCTAGGTTATGGCATGGAAGGAAAACAACCAATATTTAGCTTTTTTACTTTACAATTTTAGGGGTCTTCAATTTTTGTGAAACTCTTTGTAATGGTTTTTGTGCCTTGTAATGTATTTTTTGGGGAAACACTTTAGATTTTTTTGAAAGCTTTGTAATGGGGCTTTTATCATCATGAATTTCTACTGTTAATGCATAATTTGTTAATGTGTGTGATGACTGATTTACATTAGTTTATGACTGAATCACAGATGTACTTTCAGAGACCTCACAGAGAATAACTGTCTATTTTACCCATTACACAAAGATTTAATATAATGTATGTGACGATAGAGTTACATAACGTTATGCACATACACCATCTTCATAATCTTATCACATATGTGGGGGTCTTGTAAAGGTAAAAAGAAAGTTAAAACGCATATTTCATGGTGCTCACATGGAATAACTGTCTATGTCACAAACTTCACAGAGAATTAATGTATGTGAAGACAGAGTTACATCAGATTTACATCAGTTTATGTGCATGGAACACAGAAAATAATTGTCTACTTTACCCATTTACACAGAGATTTAATGTATGTGATGACAGAGTTACATAACGTTATGCACATACACCATCTTCATAATCTGATCACATATGTGTGGATGTTGTAATAGATTTCATGGTGCTCACATGGAATATAATAACTGTCTATGTCACGCACTTCACAGAGAATTAATGTGTGTGAAGACAGAGTTACATCAGCCAGATAGTGTTCTTGTATTTCTTCAATGCTTGTAAACTTCATCCCCACTTCAAGCACGCTATCTTTGTTTCGGTTAGAAGGACATTGACCATTGTTCCGGACATCATTGTTAATGTCATCTGTGTTCTGTCTGATCTCACCACTCGCCTGTTCTTGCCCTTCTTCGTTAAATAAATACTGATATCAAGGATCGTTAAGAAACAAATCTGGTTCAAAAGCTACAAAAAGTAGTTCCTTTAATATAATACAGTGTCTGACTATGAAGAAAAAAAATACACCAAATGCAGAGTGCATACAGATTATTAGCATCAGTGAAAAGGACAAACCCTAGATTCACAAAACTTTAATCTCTGTAACACTAAAACTAAACAGTTTTTTTTCACTACTTCAAATGAATATAGAATGGGGTCTAAATATAAACACTTACAACTGTGCTGCAACTCATATAAAACCAGGTATTCTTCTTCACCACCAAAATCATGAGGTTGATCATTCTTAACATGTGTAACAATAGATGTTTGTAAGTCCATAATCACCAAATACCCTATGTACTCTACAAAAATTCAAAAAATTATTGCTATAGAAATTGACTAAAAATGGAATGAAGAGAAGAGATTGATAGAGGAATGGTCGTGCTACAGGGATTCACGCATCAGAGATATGAAGAGGAAGATAAGAAAAGGAAGATATTACCTGCCTTGTAGGAAGGAGAGCATAGAAAAGGGAGAGGAGAGTCGGCGGATCGCTGCCGCGGAATAGCAGAGCCAGAGCAACGTAGAGGAAAGAAAAAAAAGGAGAAAAGGTTAAAAAATACTTTAAATAGGGAGGCATCAAAGGAGGCATGGGTGGGTGCATTGTAGCACGGTCCAATAGAGAAAGGTTATTGACAATAGCAGTCTAGAGCAAGCATCGACAACATTCAAAATCCTAGTTATGAATGTAACCCTAGGCAACGGCCCACAAGGTTGGTGATTAAGAATCCGGGCTCTAAGTATTTCTTATTTGAAATTTGAAATAAGTGTTATGTTACTCGTAAATTTACATTTAGTATGATTGTATGATCACTTGTAGACAACTTGGAACAATTACGTACAAAAAGTTTAATAAAAAGAGTAACTTTAGTTTAAAAAAAAGTATCTTATTCCTAGACCTGATCAAAGTGCGAGTTGGATCAGATTACAAACTACGTCGAGATGTTACACGAAATTTCTAGGTCCGGCCCATATAGCATGCCTAACAATTAAAGCTCAAGCCTGGCCCACATAGATACCCGTGGGCTTCGGACCAGCTCGTTCAGCACAACAAAAACTTTTAAATAATTAAAAAAATAATTCTTTTAATGATGTAATGGGTTACTATATTAGATGTTTGAATAATAACTATAAAGAATAAATGGAAGACCAACAACTAATATATAAAATCTGCTTTGTTTGATATTGCTACTATGTACGGAAAAGTATTATTTATTGAAATATTATTATCAATGTGTGATACAATGCAAACGATATGGAGTAATAAAGACGTATCGACTTTATTTACTTATAATTCACTTTATTCTCCATGAAAGTATGTATATGTGTGTACAATAATTTGGAATAGTATTATTCTTTTTATTATTTTTTAATAATGTTGGTGTTGTTATATTATTATAATTATACTAATAATAAATATTTTAATTCTTTTGGGCAAGCGAGTGGGCTTGAGCATAAAAGCCGAGCCCTAACCCGGTTCGTACCTTAAAATGTAAAGTCCAAGCCTAGTTTTTTGTAGGCGGGTGGGATGGGTATCCGGGCTCGGGATCAGGTTTACTTAGTCCTAAAAGAAATTATATTTCAACTCATTCATTACAACTACGGAGGATAATGCGAATCAAAGTTTATTTATTTTGTTGATCCTATCTAATTTTTACTTTTACAAAACATTCTAATTGCATAAATATTTAATATGAATCAACAACACATAGAAATTAAGGAAATTAAAAATTAATAGTAATATTTTTTCTATGTTTTTAAAGAGCAAGAATTAAAATTTTATAAATTTCTTCATCTATCATAAACAAAAACAACAATAACAACCTATTTAGATCCCAAAGTAGGAGGGTGTATGTATGCAGACTTTGTCTTTACTCTAAAGTAGGAAACTAAAGTAGGAAAGCTGTTTCAAAGAAATCTTTTCAGATTATTTTTTTGTAGTTTTTAAAAAGAGTTGAAAAAAGTTAAAAAAAATTTGTAAAATACTCTTTATTAAATTGGGCAAAGTATATACTAAATGAAATGTGTGAGGTGTAATAAGTAACATGGGGATAATTGGTTTTTTTAAATGTTAAAAAAAGTTATGAGAAATATTAACATTTAGAAAGATCTATTTCCTCTGTCCCATATTTTTTCGAACAATATATAATATTTTATTTTTTAAAAATGATTTTATTTACAAATTGGTATAGAAAAAAATAAAAGTTGCACCATTCAAAGAATCCCTTCCAAAAAAGAATATTAATTAATTTCATTCGCGCACCCCGTACTTGATAAATGTCTATAGTGCACAAAGCTCCAAACTTTAAAGGACTGGTCCTGATCAAAGGACGGATCGGTGTAAAGAGTGTCCTCTCATAGAAACGACGTCATTTGTTCAAAATGAAATAATTTTCCACAAATTATTTAGATTGAAATAACCTGGTGCTCGCTGAACTGCCGGCACCGAGCAGTGGCCTGGGATTGGTCTTGGGGGAATCCAATTGGGCTCAATCGGGTTATTTGGATCCAATTGGGTTTAATTGGGTCTAAATGAGCTAGTCCAATCGGGTTCAATTGGGCTATTTGGACTCTATTGGGTGCAATTGAGTTTGATTGGATTGATTTGGGCTGATTGAGGGGATGTTCGGGTTGTTGTGAACCTAAGCGTGTAGTCTGTTTTATTTGCTACACGCAGGTAAATAAAAAGAATGAAGTGATGAGTTCGTGGTGATAGATGGGACGAGATTGTCGGGATGGATGTGACAATTTGAATAATGATTTTAAAAAGACCGGAATAATTATTTGTGATTGATATGTGTCATATTTTAAATTCACTTCCGCAATATTAAACACTCCGCATTATTACTGTTTATGGTATGAGATTTGAAGATCGAGCTCGACATGGAAAAGGAGGTCATGGTAGCTGCCCACACACTTGACCGGAAGGGTAGCGGTGAGGAGGGAGCGACCATAGTGAGCTCTGAAGTTCCAACCAGAGCTTCGAAACACATTCTATTGCCGGAGGAATCCACGATGCTGAATCCGAACTCCATAGATGCTACCTTAAGATTGTAGAAAATAATACAAATATTACAGCGGAAGAAAATAAAATAAAATGATCCAAACTTATAACATGTTGGGATTTTACAACGACCAAAAAAATCAATAAATAAAAGAAGAGATCGGCGGTGGTCGGAAACTAACGGAGGAGGACGAACAAACTTTTTTGTGGAACGGCACCTGGTAGAGAAGAGTCGTGATTGGGTAATTTGGGTTTTTCTCAGAGAAGTTAATGTGCAATTGAAGCGAATGGGATTCAGTTATTGTTCTATCTTGAATCATTAGTTAAAATCAAGTTCAAAATCAAGTAATTATGTAAATTTAAATTCCTATGTGGTGTGCGACCATGTGCCCATTTCGATTGGGCATGAAGGTTATAAAAGTGAAAAGTTTGTGATTGAAATATGTGCAAATGTGTAAGGAATCCAACAAGGTGTTTAGATGGAAACAGAAAGCATTCACAACAAATTGGGATAGAGTGAGTATTATTTAAAATTTGAAATACTAGTATTAAATAAAGGGCTTACGTATTATAACACCAGTAATTGGCGTCATATTATCACATCAATCATTTTAGGAGGAAAGGAGGTCACTGAAGTGGGTTGGGAAGTGGGGCGTCAATAGATGAGCGATGAGTGAGGGGTTGCCAAAAGGGATCTGGGAAGATGAGAATGCATAAGAGGACTGGGGGAGATGGGAGATAGAGGAAAGGG